TTCGAAAGCTCCTATATTACGCAAAATCGATCCGTGAGCCGTGTCAAAATGTGGTTACCTACCTCAAAAACAGACCAGGAGTTGTGTTTCGGGTGTATTTTTAGTCTCTGTGCATCTCCAGAGCTCAAAATGCTCTGCTCCATCTCAACATCACAAGGAGGAACAGAGTGTTTTTCAGTTTGAGAGAAGAATTAAAGCCTAAATATACAGGGTTTGTGTGTTAAATATGTGTGAATGAAACAAAACACAACTCCAGGTCTGTTTGTGATGAGGAAACAATATTATAACATAGATCAGAAAATAACTGCTAACTCAAGTATTAGGAGTTCAAGTATCCCGGGGTCTTGTTCACGAGTGAGGGGAGGACGGAGCGTGAGATTGACAGGTGGATCGGTGCAGCGTCGGCAGTGATGCGGTCGATGTGTCGGACCGTTGTAGTGAAGTCGAAAGGCAAAGCTCTTGATTTATCGCTCAATCTACGTTCAAACCCTCACCTATGGTCATGAGCTCTGGGTAATGACTGAAAGAACAAGACGGAAGATACAAGCGGTCGAAATTAGTTTCCAGGGTGTCTGGGCGCTCCCTTAGAGATAGGTTGAGGAGCTCGGCCACACGGGAGGAGCTTGGAGTAGAGCCGCTGCTTCTCCACGCCGAGAAGAGCAGCTGGGGTGGCTCTGGCATCTGAGCGTCTCCCTCGGGAGGTTCCACTGGAAGGAGGCCCCAGGGAAGACTCAGGACATGCTGGAGGAACTATGTCTCTGGCCTGGCCCGGGTACATCTTGGGGTCCCCCTGGAGGAGCTGGAGGAAGTGTCTGGGGTGACGGAAATCTAGGAGTCCCTGCTTAGACTGCTGCCCCCACAACTCGGCCCCAGATAAGCAGAAGAAAATGAATGGATAGATCAGAAAATAGCATCATATAGGTCTTGTAATAGCATTAGCTGCTGTTTCTAGTTATTTTCTACCAACTTCAGTGCAAACTAGGTAAATTTTGTTAAAAAAAAAAAAAAAAAAATCTAAGTTTGTGCTGCCTCCATTGGTCACTGCGATTTTAAGTACTACGTGACATCACAAAGGACTGCTCTGATTACAGGCAGGTTGCAGGGGTGGAGTTTGAAGTGCAGATACATGTTAGACCAGCGGTGTCAAACTCATTTTGGTTCGGGGGCCATATCCAATCTACTTTGATCCCAAAGGGGCCGGATCAGAAAACTCATGGCATATAAACCCCCAAAACAGCAATAAGTTCAAATATTTGTGCAGACAAAAGTACATTTCAACACAATGTTTTAACATTTAACTTGTATGCAAGTAGGAATAAGTCATTTTTTCTTGGAAAATCCTGCACTCGGCTCCACTTTTCTCATTTAGGACATTTTTCTGATGAAGGTGTCACGGTCAACAGTCAAAACGATCGTCCTTTAAGAGCGTTTGGAAAGAGACAAGTCTTCATTTGTGCTGCTCTGGTGGGAGGGGCCACGTACAGAGACACTGGAGACGTGGCTATGCTCAGCACAGCAGAAAATTACCAATATTTTAATAGAAAATATTATTGAAATATTTTAGTAGAAAATCAGCAGAGGGCCAGATTAAAGGTCTTGGAGGGTCGGATCCGTATGTTTGACACCCGTGTGTTAGACCAATCAAACTGTTCCTTAGACCTCCAGACCCCGCCCCTCCTCCCTCACTCTCCCCTTTAGTCCTCCAGGTACGGCCCAGTTCAGCAGCTCTGTTTGTAATGTGTTTGTGGGCAGAGTTAAGATGTTTAGTCCCACTTTAAGTTCAGACTGTTCAGTATTTTGATTATCCAGAGTGTGTGTGCTGTGGACTGCTGTAGCCACAGTATGAAACTTTTTAGCAAATAAACTTTTTAGACTAAAGTAAAAGCTTGTTTTAGAATGTTTTATTTTGGTTGTGTTTATTGCACTGAAACACCTGTGCCCTTACTGTGAGTGGGCTTGCATCTCCACAGACCTGACTCCTGTTTGGCCTGGAGGAGGAGGAGGAGGAGGGCTTCCTTCTGCCTGTTTCCATGGAAATGTTGTTTCTTTGGCTGTAATATACCTGAGCACGGGCTAAAACCAACGTATCTCCATGGAGAATTTCTATAGAGCAGGGGTCTCCAACCTTTTTCTTCCGGTGAGCTACCTTTACAAAAAGAAAATGCCAAAGAGCTACTGGTTTTATCTGTCACAAGAAATGGAGCAGAGGAAAGTCTTAGACGGGGAATAGTTGGATAGATCTCTATAAAACATAAACCTTTATCCATTTATTAGTGCACAAAGTTAGGCATCAAACTGATTCTCAAAGTGCTTTACAGATTAAGAAATACATTGAAATCACAATAAAAACAAATCAAAACATAAATCAGCATAAAATTACTTACTGTTTCAAGTCAGGACCTGAGCTGCAGCGTCCCACAGTTCGTTTGGAGAAGCCAGTGAGACAAACTTACTGTGGACAAACACATGGATAAGTCTCTCCAAGTCTGATTTAGACAGTAAACCTTTGATTTTTGTGATGTTTTTAGATGGTAAAAGACTTCAGATGTTACTGATTTGATGTGACTGATAAAGTTCAAGTCTGGGTCCATTATTACCCCGA